TCTTTCTAACCACAGAGTTTCTTAGTTTTAATATTCAGGACAATAATGAGCAAGATTTCCGAAGGGAAGAAGCGTAGTAGGATAATTTTAGCTTGTTGGTTGGCAGGACTGTCCTGCAAACCAACGTCTTTTTAAAAAATCTAGGAGAAACGTTTTTAGTCAGGACATTGACATTGAAAGTCAGAAAAGATGTTTTTTATCTTAGGTCATATCCTTATTGTGCAGGTTAATGAAAGAATTTGAAGGCTATAGTGATGTAGTATGATGCCATTTATATTCTGCAGTGAGTTGATATGACGCGGATAAAAGTGATTTCGTGCATTTTGTAAATTCTGTTCGATGACACTGTACCTTATTTACGATCATTGCGAGATTCAATGGGGACATTGACAGGACTGTCCGGGGAGTATGTGACATTCGACCAGAATGGACCAAAATGCAAATTCAGCAGATTCGGAATTTTAGCAGCGAACCTTCCGAATTGACGGTTTTAAGCAATTAACAACGTTATTGGGACGATTAGTCAAGCGGTGAAGGTCAAGATATTCTGGTATTTTGAAATTTTGAAAATTCGAAGTATGACGTCATATTTCTGAGAAACGTCAGAAACGGCCATTTTTGATAGAAAACCAGAGAAAAACACAACAACATTAGTTGCGATAGCGATAACAACGAGAATTGTGATTGAAAAACAACGACAGATTGCAGGAATAGCAGAGACCGTTCCGAGTTGCAACTATTGTGTCGCTACAATAGTTGCAAGGCCGTTACGAACAACGGTGAAGGGTGGAAGACAGCCTTCTGGAAGGAAGATAAGAGCCTTATTTCCCCGGATTCATGAATCCGGAGGGGTCTCGGGACTGGAACTTTTGTTAACTTATATAAACTCTTAGCTTCCCTATTATGTCCTGAGTTGAATTTAGTTAACATCTGAATTCATTCTACTAAGATGAGAAGCTAGGAGTTGGGGGAAAGGGTTGATCCATCTTCGATGGAGATGATGATTTTTATCTACTGAACAAAAACAATAATAATTCAATAAATAGTAGTAGCCCTGATTTTAGGAGTGATGTCGTGGTCTGGGGATACTGATACCCAGCCATGAGCTCACTATTTCTGCATGCAATCTAGTTAATTTGAGTGTTTTGACCGAAGCCGAAGGCAGTAACGTTTCGTCGACCCGATGTTAGAAAGACCACCGAAAGTACTGGCTTGGTAGAGACGGTTAAAAGCATGTAAAGCTCTGTTTAGACGTTGGCCAGTCGTCTTAGAACTTAGTTTTATTTTCCGTCGATATGTATCTTCCGGGCGAATGTTACGAAGCGCTTGATAAATTTCTGAGCCTCGTTTCCGCATCCAGCTGTGGAACTGAAAACAAGAGTGTCCGAGTAGAAGGACCCTTGTTATGTACTCTGTTTTTACGTATTGTATTTGTAACTTGTGTTAACTAATTGTCACGTCTTTCGTCGTTTCAGAATTAACATTGTGTGAAACGGATTGATGTTTTGACACATTGCATGCTTTTGCATGTTAATTCTCTTCAAGAAAAACAAAGGCAACAAATATGACCGAAGTAGGGTGCTACATTGACGGATGCACCCACACTACCCCCGCGGTGTCCGACGCCGCCAGAGCTGTCATGCTTGAGCATCACTTGTCCACGGCACACCCAGTCCCTGCTACTGCAAAAGCTCCACCCATACCTCAACCACGCGTATCACCCAAGATTCACGAGGACTCTTGGGACTGTTTCACGAGCGAGTGGGACGTATTCAAACAGGCAAGCAGCATTCCGGAAGGTCGCGTGAGTATATATCTTGTGAACTGTTGCGAAGCCGAACTCAAGGCAAGTATGCAAAAAGAGGACCCGCAAATCACGGCTAAAACCGAAGCTGAAATTTTGAACGCCATTACAAGACACGCCGTGATCAACGTTGCTTCCAGTATATTACAGACTGAGCTCTTGTCGATGAAACAGGACCACACGGAGCCAATCAGACAGTTTGCTGCTCGCGCCCTTGGTAAAGCCCGTAATTGTAGGCTCACCGAGCAGTGCACCAAAACTGGATGTGACACAACCATCGATTTTAGTCAGAAAATGGTCAAGCTCGTTATTCTCACCGGAATGTCTGACGAGGACATCAAGAAGGACGTGATGGGCATCGATGGTTTAGACGGTAAGACGCTCAATCAGACTATAGCCATCATCGAGACGAAGGATATGGCTGCCCGGTCCATTTCTGATTCGATTGCACCTCCCAGTGGTGAGTTGTCCGCTGTGTCAAACCCACGAACACCCATGAAAATTTCTCCTAACGACACACGTCTATCCCATAAGGGTAAATGCCAGACATGTAAAGGCGAGTTTTTCATGAACCGGGTGAGAACAGTGGCCGAGACCGACGTTATTGTCACTGACAAGTTTTGCAAGATTTGCTGGAAGAAAAAGCGATCAGAATTCCGCAATAGGAAAGGCCAAAATGGGTCCTCAGACATAGAGGCGGGCGCTTTCTCCCACATGTTTGGAGTCGCGGTCAGTGAAGACACAAGTCCGACATGGGCGCATCCTTTAACAGCCGCTGGTGTTAATCATACGAGGTCACAACAGACGATAGTTGTCCCAAACTACATATTCGATGGCACATCCGGTTGGAAACAGGCAGCATCGATGCCACATCCAATTGTCAAATTGCGTGTCTCAATTGACGCGTCAGATTACAGCCACTTACGCCTTAAGCACCCCAACATGTCAACTACAACTCTGTCGATTGTGGCCGATACAGGCGCCCAGTCATGTCTTATGGGTAAAAAGGTGTTTGATCGTCTCGGCTTAATTACATCCGACCTTGTCCAGGTCAAGCAGCGAATGCACGCCATCAATGGGGAAAACATCAATTTTCTGGGTGCCCTATTCCTGCGTTTATCTGGCACGAACCCGTCCACAGGCCGGAAGGCTACAACAGCGGCCATGGTATATGTGACAGAGTCTACTGACCTGTTCTACCTAAATCGCCAAGCCATGAAGGAACTGGGTATCATCAACGACAGTTTTCCCGTTATCTGCTCCACTGCTTCCACTGGAATAGAAGCGCAACCCACATCTGGTATTGCCTCTTGTGGCTGCCCAGTTCACCGCCACCCACAGGGCCGCCCTGGGAAACTCCCGTTTGCTCCGGTCCCGGAAAATATCCCGAAGATGAAAGAATGGCTTCTCAAAACATTCGCGGCGTCTGCATTCAATAAATGCCCTCACCAGCCACTGCCACTCATGTCTGGTGATCCAATTGAAATCCACGTGGATCCAAACGCTACCCCCGTCGCTGTGTATACGGCAGCTACCGTGCCCGTGCAATGGCGTGAGCAGGTTAAAGCCCAGCTCGACCAGGACGAGGCTCTGGGCGTAATCGAGAAGGTTTCTCCGGGAGTGCCTACAAAATTGCAAGCACGAATGCACGTCGTGCCGAAACAGGACGGCACGCCACGTCGCACTATGTACATGCGCCCACTAAACACCCACTGCGTCAGGCAGACACAGCACATTGTTCCTCCATACAAACAAGCACGCATCGTACCGGCGGGCACACGGAGACCTGTGACTGATGCCTGGAATGGCTACCACTCAGTTCCACTCGCTGAGGAGGATCGGCATCTTACTTCCTTTATCACGGAATACGGCAGATACCGATACAAAGTGGCACCTCAAGGTTACCTGGCCTCGGGGGATGGCTATAACCAACGGTATGACAATATTATAGCCTCCATCCCCAGGAAGACTAAATGCGTGGACGACGCACTATTATGGGACGAGTTGCTGGAAGTACATTGGTGGAGAGTTATTGACTATCTGACGCTAATTGGTAACAGCGGAATCATCATAAATCCAAAGAAGTTCCAGTTTTGCGAGCGTTTCGTTGAATTTGCCGGCTTCCCTATTACAGATGACGATGTGAAACCACTGCCAAAGTATCTGGACGCCATAAAGAATTTTCCGCGACCTACAAACATTTCTGACATACGTGCTTGGTTTGGACGCGTCAACCAAGTGTCACACTACGCGCAGTTACAGCACTCATGACCCCATTTAAGCCATTATTATCTCCAAAGACCAGATTCAGGTGGGACGACGCACTGGAGAACGCATTCCAGCAGTCCAAGGATGAAATCATTAAGGCCATCGAAACCGGAGTGAAAATATTTGACCCAAATTGCATCACCCTGCTCAGTCCGGACTGGTCTATGGCGGGAATCGGATATCTCCTCTACCAAAAGTACTGTGCATGTCCCTCGACTACGACGGGATGCTGCAGCAATGGCTGGAGGATAACCCTGACTGGATCCCGCTTCCTCAAGAAAGCGGAACAAAACTACTAGCCAGTGGAAGGCGAGGCCCTTGCTGTCAAATGGGCTCTAGAAGACACACGATTTTTCACTTGGGGATGCAATGACCTCCACATTCAGACGGACCACCGGCCGCTTGTCAAGCTTCTGGGCAACCGCGCACTAGATGAGATTGATAACAACCGACTTCTCTCATTTAAGGAGAAGACGATGCCGTGGAGATTCAAGATAGCATATGTGCCCGGCTGCAAGATCCCTGCGCCAGACGCCACTTCGCGACGCCCAGATGACAGAGCCGAGGACGATGAAAACGAATCTCACTTTATTGCCGCGTTAAACGCCATGAGGGTTGTCGATGACATCGATCACGCCGAAGAAGAGATTATAGCCGCCGCCAGGTCCGGCTTGGCCCAGTTACACGCTGTCACGTGGGTGCGCGTGCGAGATGAAACCTCTCGGGATTTTCACATAACTTATGAACATGGCCGAAAATGGCGTCCCAGCGAATGTCTCCTCAGCTCCTCGGTTTTTGGCGTTTTCGAGACAGTCTGTCGGCAATAGATGGAGTCATCGCATACGGAAACCGCACTGTCATTCCGCCAAGCCTCAGAAGTGAAGTTTGCCAGCATCTTCATAGCGCTCACCAAGTGGTCACTCAGATGATGAGCCGAGCTACCGCGTCGATATTTTGGCCTGGAATCACCACGGACATCCAGGAGGCTCGTAAACAGTGTCGCACATGTGACTCCATGTCACCCAGCCAACCGCAACTACCAGCCGCTGAGCCATTTGTTGCGGTGCTACCCTTCCAGGCAGTTGCAACAGATTATTTCAATGAGCGGGGAAAAAATTATCTCCTGACTGTTGACAGGTTTACCAATTGGCCCGACTTGAGACAGGCAAGCGCAGCCACCGCAGAGGCCGGAGCCGCTGGTCTGATAAAAGCGTTGCGGCAATTGTTCGCCCAATTTGGTGTACCAGAGCACTTGTCCAGTGACGGCGGACCGGAATACACATCGCAAATCATAAAGGATTTCATGTCGCGGTGGGGTATCACCCATCGACTATCTTCAGCTTACCATCCCCAGTCCAACGGCCGTGCAGAGGTTGCGTTAAAGGCCATGAAACGTCTTCTTGTGGACAATGTGGACGAAAACGGAAACATAAATACAGATGCCGTTATGCGTGGCATGCTTCAGCTCCGAAACACACCAGAACGTGACAGCGGCCTGTCCCCTGCCCAGGTGCTTCTCGGTCGCTCTCTTCGTGACTCTCTTCCTGCACCACCTCCTTTTGCAAACAGAGTGTCCGTTTTTGATGAAACCAGCCCGGTCGATCATCATTGGAACGACACATGGCGAGCGAAGGAAAATGTTCTTCGTGCTAGGCTGGCAAAGCAGGTTGATAGACTAGACAGGAATACACGCAAGCTTGCTCCTCTGTTTATAGGAGACTGAGATAGGATTCAGAACCAAAGTGACAATCACCCCAATAAGTGGGAGAAGACTGGCATTGTTATTCAGATTAGTGACAATGACTAATACACTGTCCGGGTGGACGGTTCCCGCCGTCTCACTCTACGCAACCGCCGCTTCCTGAAGAAATTCCAGCGTTTTGCCGTCCGCGCAGAAGGAGAAGTCCGTTCCATACCTCCACATCGGGAGCCACTCGACACTGATTCTTCGCCCTCTCTGGAAAGACCTACATTACCCGATGATTATATGGCGCCCCAAGGAAACCAACACGATATCATCAGCAAACACAGTGTGCAGGAGATCGAGGAGTCCGCCACTCCAGCTCCAGTGGACAAACTACACGAAATCGGTCGAACCGGCCGCACCGCATCTGACTTCGTCAACCCTCCCGCTAGATCGGACATCACATCACCGGAACCGAAAGCCAGCGATCCACCCACATCACACCCAGACGCATCGCCAGTACCAGCTCAAGTCGCTAACCCTGCGCTCGATACGGTTTTAGGAGACCAAAGAGGATCCGCCGCCCGCCTCCCAAGTTTGGGGGTGACGATGCATGAACGACAGGCGCCTTCATCACGAATCCTAAATCAAGGTCCTCGTATGCGCCAGTCGTTAAAGGCGCACCGTGCCAGCAAGGCGTTTATTGCGCCTCCAACGACTTGGGGGGGGGGGGATGTCCGAGTAGAAAGACCCTTGTTATGTACTCTGTTTTTACGTTTTGTATTTGTAACTTGTGTTAACTAATTGTCACGTCTTTCGTCGTTTCAGAATTAACATTGTGTGAAACGGATTGATGTTTTGACACATTGCATGCTTTTGCAAAGAGGAGTGAATGTTGATCTTTCCACATGTATGATTCGTTCGTTATATTCTCTTCGCTTTTGGGCCTCATGTTGAGTGTAAATCTGGTTCTATCGTGTGTTGGCGTTGGTTTTGCAATTAGTGTGAAAGACCCTGAAATCGAAAAAAGTTTGAGCGCATCTTGTCCAAAAATGCCGTGCTTTGATGTCGAGTCTGGCAAAGTCGGAAGTATTAACGGAAGCATACTGAAAAGTTCACCAGTCAGTGGCTGGAGGTGAGGTTCAATGCTCACGTCCTGGCAAACTTTCTGAAGTCTCTTGGCTAATAAATCACGAATTCTATCATGTCTATGAGAAACAAATCCTCCGCTTTTGCATGCCATGGCATGGTTGATGTCAAAAATATTGCCACAGACACCTATTGCAAGCGCGTCTCGGAATTCTTGCTTGCTGATCGGCTTCCCCTCATCTTCCAATGGTACGACAGTTAACCAACTGGAGCTACCACGCTCTGTAGCGGTAGTGAGACACCGCTTAACTGCTTGGGACGAGTTTTCACTCAGGGCTGTGAACTTGTGTTTGGTCTGTATTTTCCTGCATGTGTCACCTTGTTTCTGTCTGAGGTCTTCGGGAGTGAGACGTGACTGCAAAAGAAAATTGAGGAAAATTGCCATGTCACCTACTATAATTTCGCGTTAAAATTTGTACATTCCTCAAACGTTTTATTATATTTTGGTATATCTTCAAATTTAAAAAACCTAAGCTAAATGTACAAAATGATCAGAGATTATGAAAAGTGTCATCAACTCATTCATTCAAAAATTGTAAGATTTACATATCAAAACTTTGCAATTAATACAAAAATTAAAACACTAGCCTAATTGTTGTGATAAAACTGAAATTTGTTTTCAAACAACAACAAAATATCAAACTTTTCGAAAAAGTGTTTCTGATGAGCACTTCGCCAATTATGAGAACTCCTCACCACTGTACAGATTTTTTAAATTGTTTTTAGGCTGATGTAACATAGTTTACCATATATTACCGCTTACTGGTCAAATTATCAACCGTGTTTGAGCTAACACTGCGATGATTGTGGCTGCCAGCTCCCTTTTTCACAGCCTTAGAGAACTTGAGCGAGAAGAACAAAGAGAGACAGAACAGAAGACCTATGCAGTCCCCGGGGTTTCTTTTAATCCAATACCTTGAACAGAGGGAAGAAATTGCTACTATTGTTAAAACAGCAACCTCTAGCCAGTAAGCAGATAATCTTCTGAAGAACAGCATATCTTCCCATCTTACCAACAACTATACATCCTGCCCACTTGATGAAATACTGGCGCATCTGCAGTCTAAGCGACATTAAATAGGTGCAATTGTCTACAGCAGAATAACGAGCCCTCCTGATACCTTTGAGGATCTGTGAAAGAGATAGATAATCGCCATGAACTTTTACAGCAACTTTATCTCTAGAAGCAAAAGACAGAATCCTGCGGTCCTGAGAGAGTACCTCCAACTGCAACAGTCCAGTAAGTGGCAGCTGAATTCACTACCAGTGGTGCATCCCGTCCCTCGAGATCACCTGCCCGGCATTTTCACGGAGGCATGGACACAGATCAAGAAGCCATTGCAGAAAAAATGCCGCGGTACAAAGGCGCGGATTGGTCCGGCGATGGCTGTGGAACTTCAGCTGGAGCCGAATGATCAGAAAGTGGTAAGATATTGTCGGGTGCCACATAATTTTAAGTGCTCGTGGCCTGCAAAGAAGAGTTGCCTGCAATATTGCTGTCACCACCACTCATTAGATTCGTCCTATAAAGAAACTCACCTGGAAAATTTTGCTAGATTATCTAAGACATTTTAATGAATGAATAGCAATTTACTGAGAGTAAATTTTCACATCACACCACATTTTGTAGGTTTTTGCTTGCCTGAAATCGTTTTGTTTTGGATCAAAGGGTACACAGTTTTCCTTAAAACTTCTTGAGATCTGAGTTAAGCCGGCAAATGCGGATAGTATTGAGGCATCAAGTAAACTAGATAGTGCAAGGGAGGTAATGAGAAGGGGTATGGATGACAAGTGGTGGCCGTAATTTTCCATTTAAACCTGCAAGCAAAATGTATTGAAGAAAATTCTATTAGGATTTGATGAGAGTAAAAATTCCTATGATTTAAAGAGTTTGTACACTAATGTTCCCTTCAGCGAAGCTATTGAAAAAGCCATGATGACTTTGTATGAGTAAACCAATCTCCCGGAACTATCTCGCAAAACTTTGAAAAGCTACTAAATTTGGCTGGCAATGGGTGCCTCCCCTGCAGTATTTCTGGTCGTGTTGTAACCGAAAGAATACGAACCAAAATTAGAGAAAGAAGCACCAAAATTGACGTCGCTAAATGAGGATTACAACAGAGTCTGTCCTGGATGGCAGAAAAAGGTGACATATCAAACCAAAATGGTAGAATCATATGGTAACAAATTAGAATCCGAATATGCAAACACCGCTGAAACAGTCTGTTTTTGCGGGACTCGCAAGAAACAGCAGGAAACAGATCGGAATGAGAATGGTGTTAAAACTTTTTTTGATATGTAAATGAGTGTGAGGGGCAAACCTGTGGTAGTCCTCGAGGCTGCCAATAAAATGCATTCAAACTTGCAGCTTACTATAATAAAAACTTGATAATGACGTTAATTAGGTCTTTTTGGGTTTAACTGTTTGCTTGTATTCACGACAACAGGTCACAAAATGAAACCAGGTTCCAAAACCCACAGATTTTGGTGTCATTTTCATTTTGGAGGCTGCGCACTTTTTTAGTGCAAAAAAAAACGTTATTGAATGGAAGGTCCATCAGGTTTTCAGAAGTACCTCAACTTGGGCGAATTTTGACAGGGCTTTGGAGAAAAAAGGGAAAAATTAATTAAAAGCCTAATTGTTGTGATAAACTTATTAAATAGACTTCAGATGGCATGCTGATGACTTGACGAATATCACAATATGGCATCGACACGGACAACTCAATCCCGTGGGCGCATCGGAACCCAGCGACCAACATCCTGCTTCTGTGGAAATCCAGACGAGCATGGTTTTATGGTTGGCTGCGATGCCTGCGACTCCTGGTGTCACGGCAAATGTGTCAACATCGAGAGTGAGGACGCAGCGAACAATCTCACGTTTTTTCGATGCGGATCATGTGAAGCAGCGGATGGACCCGTCAGACGTTGTAAAGTATGCAAGGTGAATGTCCAACTCACTCAAGCTGGACTGGTACGAGTGCACAAAGTCAACGGGAGCAAATGCAGGAGCCATGTTACCTCAGAGTACGACATAGTAAGTTCTGTCAACGAACCTCAGTGCATAAAACTCTTGCGTGCTTTTTGTTCTGATTGACTTGACTGCCTCAAGCGTGTTCCTAAAGCCTCACGGAACAACTTAGCCCGTGATTTTATTACTGTTTTTGACTAAATCTGTTCACAGCCGGATCTTTTGTCCCATTGGTGCAGTTTATTTACTCTTATTGGTAAATGCCTATCAGTAACCAAGAAGGATAATAATAACAGTCAGTCACTAGCTTCCAAGGTCAATGAGCGGATTTGTGCTTTCCAGTCTGGTGAAGAAGCCCCAGCCACTCGCGACCAAAAGAAAGCGAGGAAACCTAATCCTTCCACGCACTCTCCGTCTGAAGAGCTGAGCAAGCGCGTCTCTGTCAAGATAGAAGCCTCCGACATCAAAGGCGCCATTCGTGTTGCCTCCTCAGATGAGGAAATGGTGGATCCTAGTGACCCTGCTGTTGTGGACGAGCTGAAGAAAAAACATCCCCCGCGTTCCAATGCTGTCTCCTCCATTCCAGTCCCTTCTTCAGAGTCTCCGGTTGTTTGCTGCGTCTCCAGTGTCTCCGAAGCCATTCAGTCTTTTCCTTCTGGTTCTGCTGCTGGGCCTGATCGAGTGACTCCGCAGATTCTTAAAGACCTGATCAGTCAACGTGGAGAAGCCTCACAGCCCTTCTTGAGTAGTCTCACGTCTTTTATCAACATCGTTCTGGCAGGAAAAGTCCGGGTTCTCATTCGCCCGTTTCTGTTTGGAGCTAATCTGTTCGCCCTGAGCAAGAAGACTGGAGGAGTTCGTCCCATTGCTGTTGGAAACGTCTTCCGCAGATTGGCCTCCAAATGTGGTGGACGCACCT